CTGGGTTACTGCAGAGCAGAGAGGAGAGAAAGAGCTTAGGTCAAGTCCCCCCAATGTTTGGCTTCAGAAAAATGAAACTGTGTGATTTCAACAATTGATGTAGCCGATGAACAGACAGATTTTTTTTTTGTAATGAAAACTGAAAATTTAGCTTTAAGCCTTCCAAGTTAAAAAACACTCACTGTCAATTTAGGTATCTTTCAGCTTTAAAAGTTTTAACTTAAGAATCATATCCAGGAAATCCATGGCTAGAATTTTGGGAGTTGGTGAATACTTTTGGCACTTTTCATTGCTAATTCAATCAAATTACAATAAATTCCCATGCCTGTAGAGATATATGTGTATGTATGGATTTTAATCTGCAGCACCATACCATGTTGTGCTCTTGTGGATTCTATAGGAGATGGTGACAATTTAAAATCATAAAGTTTAGTGTTTGCAAAAGGACCTAACGTTTTCTGTCTGTGTGATTTGTGTTCCTGGAAGGAGGCAACGCTACCAGAATCACACAGATAAGAAACACCAGAGCTCATCCTCATTTCAGCTCCCTAATCCACGAGCAATGAACTGCATTTTCTGGCCTGTCTCTCCTTTGTCAGGCTACAAGCAGATGTTTATTACTCACCCATTTTTTGTGATTTTAGTGTCATAAAAAATTCTCTTCCAAGATATGTATAGGAAATTTTATGTGTTCCCTCTAAAGATTTACAGCTTAATTTTATGGATATAGATATATAGATATAGATATAGGTATAGATAGATACTGATGATAGAGATAGAGACAGAGATAGAGATAGAGCTACACATATATATCTTTAGTCATTTATTTTTCTGAGTAATCTGAGGTAGGGGTCAAATTTCATTCTTTTGCATAAGAATATATAGCTTTTTAAAAACCATATATAGAAAAGACTTTCTCCATGTATATTCTTGGTAAAAGTTTATATGCTCACCAAGTATTATTAGTTGTACAGAGTGATTCCTGGGTACCCAATTTTGTTTCTTATTTCTGTACATCACCATTTAGGCCAACATTGCACTGCACTGTATAGCTTCGCAAGGTAGTCTGAAGTCAGGAAGTGTGAGGACTCTGGCTAAATTCTTCTTTATTAAGTTTGCTCTGACTATACATGATCATCTCTGGTTCCAGATGAATTACAGTTGTTGTTGTCATTGTTTTTGTTGTTGTTCTATTAAAAATGCCATTGCAACATCGGTGAACATGGCAAACATTACCCAAGTGAAATGCGTCAGACCAATAGCATGACCTCACATAACTGTGGACTTAGAGTGAGAGCAGAATGGCTGATTGCTGAATGCTGGGGAGTAGGGAAACAGAGATGGGCAAAGGGTACAGACTGTTGGTTCCAAATGAGTAACCACAAGGGATTGGTTTTAGTCTGAACCACAGTTAAAAATATCTGCATTGTGTACTTGAAATATTCTACAATGTATTTTAAATGGTCTCCTTACAAAAAGGCAATAAAATTATGTGAACCTCAAAATATTTTATAAGACTATATGCCAAAAATTTTAAGCTAATATCAGCAAAATTTTAATTTAAAAATCACAACCCCGTCTGATTTACGATTATCTGTTATACAAAACCTGGATGAATTCTATTTCCTCAGAAATTCAACTTTTATACATTAATGAGTTATAGTTCCTGTATCTTAGAAAAAACAAATAGCACTCTGTGATATGCTTTCCTCCTACTGTCTGGGACACGCATTGAAAATCTCTTACTTGTTCAGAGGTGAAGACTGTGGGTTGGTTGAATTTTCAGAGACTCCTCCAAGACTGCAAAGCTACCATATCCATATAATGGAGCAGATCTGGAAGCCAGCAGAACTGCAAGCCCTTGAATCTGTCTCTTCCTGGCCAGTGTGCTCTGAGCTGGGCTTGCTCATAATTTGTGCTCAACTTTTAGTCAGATGGGGGCTGAACTACATGCAGTGAACTCACTCACCTGTCTGTGGACCACATTCATGCCTCTGAGACCCAGGCTTGTCATTCACTCTTCCTGAAAATAAACCCCTAGACGACACAGGACTCAGGAGGTGAAAAAAGATTGTGCTCTGAACATTAGCAAGGAATTATGGTTATTTGTATTTTTTGTGCTGTAACACACATATGACTGAACTGTAGATTAATTTCATTCTTTTTGTGATTTTTGGTTTGTATCCAAAGAGATTATTGCCAAGCTAAATATCAAGCTACTTTTCTTCCACATTTTTCCCCTGGGGGTGATTTGTTTTTGTTTTTATATTTATGTCTTTGATCCATTTCAAATGAGTTCATTGAGGATTTTGTAGTGTAAAAACCTTTGAAATAAACTGTGATGTGATATAACTTTCATTAATAGAGATGTCAGAACTATAACTAAAATACTAGGTCTTCTAATGCAGTATTCTTAATCTTTCATCCAATTTACTCACCCACCCTTTCCAAAACCTAACAATTTCTCATGCATAAATACAAACAGGAGGCTTTTATTACCAAATATACATTTTGAAACTATCTTGTCTTTGGACTTCACAAATACTTGAAAAGTAAGTTGTAATGCAAATCAAAATTTCATATTTGGAGAATAGCGTGAGCAATGGCACTAGGGGCCTTTTGTACAATGTATACGAAATTGACATTGAATTTTTAGTGCTTTTTTTCTTTTTTATTGGACCACTGGTCCCAACAGATGGAAAATGTACAAGAGCTCCTGTAATCATATCTTGGCCACATTAGTTTCTCGCAATGTTTTAAATTATAATGTCAGAGGACTAAAGGCTCAGAACAATATATGTCCTCAAATGTTTGTGGTCTTCTGATTCTTCTGGCTTAATTCCACCTAGCGTGTCTCTCTTCGCCAGCCTTAATTCACCTCTTTCTGTCTGATCTCCAAGATCACTCTGAGTAAGAGTCCTGAGGTGACTGTGATCTGATTTCTGCCCCTTTTCTTCTGAACTCACATAGAGAGATCATCTGTGAAGTATTTCTCTACTGTAAGGATTCATTTCAATAGTTGTTCTTCTTAGAAAACTTTGAATAATAGCCAAGACAGTGTACTCTCGCTTATTTGCCATTTCCCCATTCTACCAAAATTTTGAAATTTACTGCATCCATGTATTTCCATTTTCCTCTTTTCTGTTTAAAAATATGGCTAATATACCAGGCACCGTGGTGGTGCATGTCAGAAAGCCCAGCTATTCCGGAAGCTGAATTAGGAGGATCACTTGAACTCACAAGTTTCCAACCAGCCCGAGCAATATAGTGAGACTCTGTATCAATACAAACATAGCAAAACAAAACACAACATAAATCAAAATAAAATACACACACAACAGAGAAGAACTGATAGGTTTTATTATAGACAGGTGATGACATAGAAAAATCATTTCAGAGTCACCCTTCAGATAGTGACTATGATCCAGTATTTTATATATTGCTATATAATTCTTAGACCTGCCAAGATAATTCTACTGAAGATCCAGAAGTTCAGTGGAAAGATGAGAACACTTCATCCCCAACAACCAAAATTAGTGACCCAGGTCAGAGGTGTTGCATTTGAATTCCAGACTTCCTTTAGCCTAACTTGACTATAAATGCTGATTAGGAGAAAACAAATAAAAATACTCGATTGGTTTTATTTTTTCCTCAGCTTCAGGAGCCAGTCAAGATGCAGTTAGCTCCTGGGTCAATGGTCTAAATGCAAACTTAAACAATACTTTTTAGAATACTACATGATTTTAAAAATGAGTAGCGCAGATGATAAATGCCTTTTTACTTTCTTCAGATTCTGCTGGAACATGTGAAGCTGCAGGCTATAAACTTGAAGATTTCCTGATGTCCCAATTATTCAGCATTTAAAAATTGGATCCCTCTAATGCTCAGCTTTGAGAAATTTCTTAGCCATGAGTATAATGTCATACCACCCAGCAGAAAGTCAGAAACAAAGCACTATTAAGAAAATATCTCTAAATGTTTAATAGGGAAATACATTCATGTCTTTAGAAAACCAAAGCCTTAGAAGAAAAAGGAGAAAACAGTTACTCTCTGTGAAGAGTGGTAAAGGGCATATGGTGAATATTTAAATAAAAAGGCTGCTATAGAAAAAGACACACACACACACAATTCCCGCACAAATACTCAAAACTCTCCCCATTATTTTACAAACTTAGCCCATCATTCTTGGAAATGTGTCTTTTACCATAGTTGTTTATTATTTTTTAAAATTTAAACATTCATATTGCACCATCACACTGCTGTACTTAGAATCTGCTAAGAAAACTCCTGGTTCAGTTGTGAGCTGCTTTGTTCCTGGATCTGTGATCTTGCACAATTATACTTCTCATTTTTAAAAGCATATTATATTCTAAAAAATATTTTTACATTTCCATTTTGGATCATTGACCAAGTAACCAACTGACCTCCTCCCTGGCTACTGGAACAGAGTAAGAGAATAAAATCAATAGAGGACAGTTGTTTCTTTCATCCTTGTAAGCATTCACAGTACTCAATTAGGAAATGGCACAGACTTAGTGACAGGTGTTTTTATGGTATGTGCACTTATAGTAGGATTATGGGTGTGACATTTGTGATTCCTAAGAAAAGAAACCACAATGCTTGACACACAAATTCTCATTAACTTCCAACAGGAGACAATTCACCAGAAATTAAGCTTTTTCATATGTGTCCCTTTTACTCAGTCATGCACCTTTAAGAATCAAGTAGGGATCTTCATGAGTTTTCCTTTTGTCACCTATTGATAAAGGGCTAACCATTAATTAAAGTCATTACATGAAGGCTCTAATTTAAAAGCAAATTCTGACTCAAACTCCAATGGTATTACAGTTACAGACTGAAGTCCTGAAATTCTGGCCAGTAAGGAATAAGTCCCTACACCTGTCATAATTGTTAGATGATAATACGCTGTTGATTTGTCTTCATAGAAAGTATCACTACATTCTTTTCTTCTCCTGCACCTGACAATTGCCCTTGGGGACATGGAAGTGGGAAATCGCACCGTCTTGACCGAGTTCACTTTGCTGGGCATCTCAGCAGACCCCCACTGGCAGCTGATCATCTTTGGAGTATTCCTCATGCTCTATTTGGTGACCTTGTCTGGGAACCTGACCCTGGTTATCTTAATTCGGATTGACTACCGGCTACACACACCTATGTACTTTTTCATCGGCAGCTTGTCATTCTTGGACTTCTGGTACACCTCAGTGTACACCCCCAAAATCCTGGCCATTTGTGTGTCTGAAGATAAGCACATGTCCTTGGCTGGATGCGGGGCGCAGTTCTTCTTCTCCTGCCTTGCTGCCTACACTGAATGCTATCTGCTGGCCACCATGGCCTACGACCGCTGCAAGGCGATCTGCAGCCCACTGCTGTACTCAGGCACCATGTCTTCCTCTCTCTGCGCCAGGCTTGTTGCTGGCTCCTACATAGGTGGGGTTCTGAATGCCATCGCTCACACCGCCAACACTTTCAGGCTGCGTTTCTGTGGTGAAAACATCATTGACCACTTTTTATGTGATGTGCTGCCACTGGTAAAAATGTCCTGCACGGACACCCAGGTCTATGTGAGAATCTTGTCCAGTCTGGTGGGATTCACAGTCCTCTCCTGCCTGCTCGTCATCCTCACCTCCTATCTCCACATCCTCCTGGCTATCCTCAGGATCCGTTCCGCCTCAGGGAGGCGCAAGGCTTTCTCTACCTGCACCTCCCACCTGGTCTCCACCACCCTTTTCTATGGATCCCTGCTCTTTGTGTACTCGAGGCCGAGCTCTAGCTACTCCCTGGAGAGGGACAAAGTGGCTGCCCTGTTCTACACCATCATCAACCCCCTGCTCAATCCCCTTATCTACAGTTTGAGAAACAAAGACGTCAAGGAAGCCTTCTGGAAGGTTATGCAGGCCAGCCGACCGCAGGCATGAAGGTCCTCTGGTACACTTCATTGTGGTGTATCAGTTTCTGATATGTAGATATTTGTATGCATTTTTGTATTCTAAAGAGTTTTGACAAGGTATATTCATAACAGCAAAATCTCCAGCAAATCAGTCTTTCACCATCATTGTCACATTGTCATCATCGTCACCATCATCAGTGTCATCATCACTATCATTTTTATTTTCTTGTGATGTATACTATTTATAGTCTATAACATGGAGTTATTTTATATTCTGTAATGTGATATTTGCCTCTTTGCAGTAGTAAACTTTAGAAAAATTTATTGTTTTAGCTTTCATTGAGGTCTTGGAAAGAGGCAATGTGAGTTGCGCTGTTTTCCTGCATACCCTTGACTTTGATGTTTGTGATCAGTTTTGGTTGGGCAAGCAAAATATACAAAATGGATAGATTGGTGAAAATTTGCTTAAAGTTTTGCAAATAATAATTTTCATGATGTATGTGGAGGACCACCTGGAGGACTCTCTTTGAAAAAAGAGTGATTATCTCCATTTTGTGTAAACCTGGCTCTGTTTTCATTTATTCATGTGGCTGGCTAAGACTTTTCCTTATTACTTTAATTGACTTTAATCAATGCAGATTAGTCAAACTGAGATGCAGATGTGTAGTCTTTGAAACAAAGGGACAGGTCAGTGTTTCCCCATCCCCATACCTCCCAAAAAACACCAATGAGCCAGCCCAGAAGAGCTGCTCTCCATCTTGTTCGCTGGGAACTAGCCTCAAGAAAAGAGGCTGTGACTTCCCAGCACAAAAGATTACACATTAGAGCTGAACCACCTGCCCCCAAACATTAGATATTATCTCAACTGTGCTATGCATACCCTTCTCTATGCATATGGCAGAGGTGATTTCAGGTCTTCGCCCTAGCTCAGCTCGTAGCCCTCACATAGCTTCCACCACTGTCACAATCACTCATCCTCTAGCCACCGCCTTCTTCATGAATGAAAAAAATCCAAGTTTGGTCCTGGACCAAGGCCTTTGTTCCGGTAACCATCACTACAGCTGGCCCTAGGACACCTTGGTTTCCCACAAGTCAGTATTCCTTACTGTGCTAATTCTCACCATGCATTGCACTGGAAGTGATAGAATGGAATTAACTCACTAGAATTCCAAAGTTTTCCTTTAGGATTATGAATATAAAGTTTCTAAACTGCCACACGGCCCAGGTAAGGCTATCAAGATGTATCCCTTAAAATTGTTCCTAAAGTTTTAATTGTGTGCATAGAATGTATTTATGTAAACCTTATACTTTGTACATAAATATAATGATTGGCACAGTGATTAGGAATTGTTGAGATTTAAAAATATAGAACCATTCTAAATTTACCACGAAAGATGTATTTTTAAACACTAGCCAGAAGACATCATCTCCCATAAAGATTAACGAATCTAGTACAGTTTACCTTGAGATCACACACAAGAGAAAAGTGTTAGAATGAGTTGTGAAAATACTGAAATAAACCAATAAATATCCACTTATATTTTACAGATAATGATTGTTTTCTTCCAGAGATAACTTTATGTAGAAACAAATGGGTCAATATTTATTGCATGGCAGGTGTTGATATTGTATTTGATATTCTTCACAAAATTACAATTTAAATACATGAATATACATTGGAGGAGCTTACAGCTCAGAAATTAGAACTTTGTAATTGCCAAAAATAGAGCAGGAATAATGGGAGCTATTCATCCTCTTTGTTGATTTTGAAATTCCTCGTGTCCCCCCCACTTTTATTTCCTAATTCCCTCTCTTTCCTTTCAAAAGGTTCTTCACACTGTTCCTTATTTCAGCAGTTAGTATTTGACAAGAAGGATTTAGGTGGAACCTACTACTCATTATAGCTCACAAAGCATTATGAGCTAATCACAAAGCATAATCACTTACTCATAATATGCATAGCAGGAAAATGAATTTGAGATCAATGCTAGGGGTGAAGTGAAATAAAATTTAATCTTTTAAGATTCTAAGAAGTATTTCATATTTTTCCCTCATGCAAAAATAGATCTGGATTCTGTTTCTTTAAAATAATGTTATTATAAAATGGAAACTATTCAGAACTTTACAGTCTGTGAAATAGAACAAAATAAATGAGCTAACAATGAAACAAAGACTTTCTTATTTAATTTCCTTTCACTTAAAAGCATTTTTAAAATCCAGTGTCCTAAACCCCCCAGTCAGTCTACCCTCCCAGTGTCCTAAACTCACCAATCAGTCTAGAATGCCTAGAGAAACACACACCTGTGTGGAATTTGGATGGAGTAGAGAATATGATGCCTCAGTCTCTGCCAGGTGAGAGCCCTGTTGGGACTCTGCCTGAGGTAAGGTCATCACTAAGCAAGGATCTTGCTGACTTTGGGCATGCACTAAGTGTTTTCTCTGTCTCAGTGTATTCCTTATACAAGAATGTTCCAATGTTTTTTGGGTCATTGACTCATGTGGGTTTTTTTGGTGTTTTTTTTTTTCTCAGAAAATACTTTTTTAATACCTGTATGCTCTCCTGGACTCTGAGAAATAGCAGTAAGCATGAAAGAGCTCACCCTTATTTAAAGAAGCCTTTACTCTGGAAGCAAAATATAGAAAATAAAAAAACATGGTCAGTTCTTTTCAGTTAATGCTCAAAGTTAGTTGTAAAATAAAACGATGATGAGACAAAGATAAACTAGGAAATGAGTTCAATGAATTACCTGCTGTGACTGGAAAATAAATAATCCTAAGATGAACAAAGCACTTTCATAGTCATTTTTCAGAAGAAAATATATTAACGACCAACAGGAATTTGCAAAATGTTGAGCAAGACAAATTATTAGTGAAATATAAATTAAACCATAATGAAACATCACATTATGCACATAAAAATAACTTTGACTAATGAGATGAAAAATAATACTGGAAAAGGTGTGGAGAAAAGGGAACATTTGTACACCATTGGAACGATTATAAGCCAGTGCAGTCATGTTGGAAAACAGTACAGAGGTTAGTTAAAAATTTAACAATTATGGATCCACAATTGTACTTCTGGGTATGGATTGCAAAGGAATAAAATCAGTATCCAGCAAATTATTGGCTCTCTGTGATCACTGCAGCATTACACATAATATCTATGATGGAGAGAAACTCAGGAGAGGGTGACTGGAGGAGCGACATGTGTATAAACCATGGGATACTACCAAGTCTATTTGAAAAAGAGAACTCTATCATTTATGAAAAACAAATGTCTCTAGAGGACATGATTCTATAGAAACAAGCCATGCAGAAGGACACATCCTGTGTGATCTCCCTGATATGTGCAATCTAGAATTAACAGAATCAGCATACTAGAGCCCAAGGTAGGGGTCAGTGGTAAAGGAAGAATATTACTGAAAGGGGGCAGCTTGTGTGGACAGAGAATTCTGGAGCTGTACTGCATAGCACATTGTCTGCAGTAAATAATTGTATATATTTCAAAATTGCTGAAAGTATCAATTTGAAGATTTCATTCTTACTACAAAGAAATGATGACACCTGAGTGCCAGATATATGAATTCACCTAATTTAATCCATCTGGCACATATAAAACTACACTAAACTCCATCATTATACATAAGCATTTGCCAATAAAAATAAAAGGAAAATTAAATTGGAAACAAATCAAACACTATAAAAACTTCCCTTCATTACTATTTATCTTGCTTATAATCCATCTAACACATGGTTGTTGTGATAATCCACCAGATTTTTTATCTGATATCGTGATCTTGGTGATTTCGCAAAGTAATATTGATTTCCTGTTTTCTGTATGAGTGAAAGAAGAAATCTACAGCTGATTGGAAGCTGCATCTTTTCTAATTTTTATCGTTCCAGGGAATATGAAGAGAGCCACAAGTGGGGGCCGATAATTGCGCATTTACACCCAGAGCCCAGAGTCGCAAAGTGTCCTTGGGACCAATCAGCCTAGGGGAAAAGGAACTCTAACTGAGCAAACCTAATACAAGGGCAAAGGTGCAGGATGTTTAAGTCACAAAGCTCTCTTTGGATGGACTTGCCAAGGCTTTGATCCTGAGTTCTACAAAGAAACGAATGAAATATAGTGTTAGGCAAAAGGCTGATTCTCGGAGTCCCTGAAAAAACCCACTTTGTCCCCTACACTGTGATTTACAAGAGTGCAGCACAGCTAGGGCATAGGCAGAGAGCACCCCCTCCATCCCATTAACTGGTACTCATCCCCCCACAAGCTCTCAGTAAAGGATGAGCAGAGCAAAGCAGGAGACCCAGAGTCTCACCCAGCACGGTGGGGTGGGTACCCGGGACCACACGCTCAGTGAGAAAACTCAGAGCTGCCGGGCAAGAAGAGCTCCAAGGCCCAGGGCCGGAAGTCCTTTCCAGGACAGACACAAACAGAGACTAAGGGCAGGATCCTGTGACTCCAGCCTTCAACATAGGAACGATCCTCTCAGGAGGCAGGAGAGCCAGTAAAACTGCGGGTGCAAGAGCTGGGCTGTTATTCCTACTCTAGGTGGAAATTTAATCAGACAAAGAACCTTTCTGTTCAGCTGTGACTCTTCATGGTATCTCTGGCTTTTTGTGTTAATATCTATGAGTAAAACATACATTTACAATGTTTAAGACACTCTATTAAGCAGAAAGTAAAGTGGGGAAAACCATTAGTTCCCAGTTACAGGAAAATATTAAAATTAATTTGTTATATTCCTAGGCAATAATTGCATGCACTTACTATTATAAGTATCAGTAAAGTAAATATTCCTGTAAACAATTGGGCTCCTCTGTCAAATTTGAAGTTATAGAATTTGAGGGGCTTAATCTCTTTGTTTCTAGCATATGGTAACATGAAATTCAATCCAAATTCTTATATTTTATAATTCAATTTTTATCTCCTAAATTACTCTGATTTTCTGATCTTAGGTCTCTTGAACTGTGATGCATCAAGGTTAGAAATTTATTATGCTGATTTATATCAAGTTGTAGCAC